CGCCCACTTCTCCTTCTTTACATGTTTATACTCAAGAACCTAAAGTGTGTTCTTCTAAGACGCCTTTGATTGTCCATCCACTGCAAATTATTTTTTGGCTTCAAGTATAGATAGAGCAAGGGAAACATTTCTATAATAATCAAGCAATTGTCTACATTGCAAGCAATTTTATCTCTCATAAAAGAATCAAACATATTGAAACATATTGAAATAGATTACAGCTTAATCAAAGATATGGTATTGTCAAAAAAGATCGTAATCCACACATCAAGGGAAGAATAATTGGCTAATATATTTATCAAAATTCTAGAATCTCTTTACTTTAAAAGTGATATCTTTATTTAATGAGATCTAAAACAATTTTATCATTTTTTCAAAACCTACTTTCTATTTGATGGCTTTATTTGAGACAACTTTCATACAGCTTTATAAAATAATTTTTTAGTACAAAAATTTTTGTACTAAAAAGTTTTTTTAGGCTTCATTTGGGTTGATTTTCTTACTGCTTCTTAAAACAGCTTTTTAGTACAAATATTTGAATTTTTAAAAAATTGCTTTACGAAGCATAAAGAAAGTTGTCTCAAACGAAGCCTTAAAAGCAATTAAAAAAACGGTCTCAAATGAAGCTTATAGCAATCAAATGAGCCCTAAGATGTATTCCATAGAACTAATTTGTGCTAAGTTTGCCTGCATACTTTCTTACTCTACAGTGGCAGAGGTCATCTTTGCGATAACATCAAGCACCAAAGATGCATGTGGGAAACCTCCGACCGAGCGGCTCTTCCTCGACAAGTATGGGAGGATATGCCTATCGCTTGATGAAATTGTTTGGCAGGTAAAAGCACATTAACATTACAACTTTCACTATCAGAGTAAAAAACATTATTATTTTACAAAGGATTTTAATCTGTCCAATCATAGTGATGAAGTATTCAATAACCGTAAAAAAATAATATAAAATAATAATAATAATAATAAATGTTCAATAAAAGTCATTCTATTGATTTTTTTTTTCAAATTTATTGTTTAATAAAAAAAGGGATTTACATACATATATTTGAATTTTTAGGTATTTAGATATGTAGCACCTGATTTTTATAATTATTTATATATAATTTTAATATTTAAATTACATAAAAATATATTATTAATATTTTATTTAAAATGGAGAACATAGTGTCTTATATATTTTTTAATGTGATTTTGACACATGTTAGATATGTAAATATTTAAGAATTTTGGGGTATGTATGTAAATCCTTCATTAAAAAAAGAATAATAACTGCAATAATTCAAAATGAAATTGATGGTTGTGATGGATTTTTTTTTATCCACTTAAATGAGCAGGATTAATCAGGATATTTTTATTCAATTTTAATTTGAAAGGATTTAAGAGCTATTAACCTTGCTTTTAGATTAGGGCAATGTATGATCAAACAATTAAAAATCACACTGTATTTATCTTAAATCAACTTTAATAATTTTATATTGTATTATAATTAAATTCGAGTCAAAATATGAATCAAATATCCCAATCCAAATTTTATTCTTTCAGAATCTATCTATTGTTAGCAGATATTTCTATTGGATGGTTGAAATCGAGGAATATTTCGGATTTGTTGTGCGATAAAAAGTACCATTCAATTTTAAGGAAAAAATTTATAAGATGGTGGTGAGACCTGCAATGTTTTATGGAACAAAATGTTGGCCCTTAAAAGAGAAGCATAATATTAAGTTAAGTGTTGTTGAGCTGTGGATGCTCATGTGGATGAGTGGATTTACTCTTAGAGATATGATACAAAACGAGTATATCCGTGAAAAAGTTGGAGTAGCTCCAACGATAGATAACATTAGAGAGAGTCGCCTTAGATGGTTTGGTCATATAAAACGGTGGCCTTCCGATGACCCTGTTAGAAGAGTAGATGTATTAGATTTGATCCATATTAAAAAAGACAAATGTATAGAAATAATATTTCTTTATTAGATTTAAATGGGAATTTGACTCCCCTGAGAAATTATTCTGTGGTCATTGAACGGTCCAAAAGTGAATTAAAATGCGTCACGTCAGTTGGTACCGAACGGTACACAGCACAAAAATGGCGTGGCGCATTCTCATTCGCCTCTGGACATCATTCAGTGACCGCACAAAATAATTTTTCCTTAATAGGATACAAAGGAAAAAAATGATTCATATAGTTGACCCTGGGATAAAAGCTTGATATTATTGTTATTATTGGAGAATCTATCTGCCAGTCTCATATCTTTCCCATAAATTCCTCTAATGCTTTATTTCTGAATGATGAAGGGCATGCTGGAAAATACAGAGAAGGAGAGAATCAAACGGTTGATAAGGATGAAACCTCCAGCTGATGTGTGACTTGCTGGCTTCTGATTCATTTACTCAGCATTATCTATATTTCTGTAAAAGTTCACCGATGAGCATCAGCTTCTCACTCAAGCTTCACTGATTTGATCGTTCTGTGTTTATGTGACACATGCGACCATAGTTGTTGATATTTCTAAAAAAAAAAAGAGAAAATTTTTCTTGAGTTAGCAGTTTTGCACTGGAAGAGAGATAAAGTATTTACTTTTATTTCTAGTAAATAGATGATATTATATAATAATAGTATATTATTATAATATATAATAATTATAGCTAAAAAGAGATATATACTATATTATTATATAATAATATACTATATAGTGTATATATAATTAAAATCAATATATTATATATTATATAATTTTAAAATAATATGCTATCATTTACACACATCAAAATATGTAGCAAAGGCAATACAAAGAAAAAGCAAAAAAGAGAGGGTGAACGAATACTGAGAGATGCCCATTTTTTTACCTTTTGTATCGTTTTGGTTCTATCGATTAGTATATTCTAATAGTTTTGAAGGTCGACCAAATTCGAGCAACATCAATATTACTTATATAATGATTAAGGTCCGATTTTCGAACCCTTGGCGGCAAGAGGTGTATAATATTAAGAATTCATAGGTGCGTATGGAGTAGTTAGGATTAAATATATGCACGTGATAATTTGATTATTAAAAATTGTTATAGTGATATGCATTGAACATTTTTAAACCTTTGACTGTTAGATATGTATATTATGATAAAAACTAATCTGTAATGTTATGTAAAGTACCCCTTAAAATATTATAATTTAAAAATATTATTTTTCTGAAATTTGCAAATAATTTCAACAAATCGTAAAATATCTATCTATATGCGTTCTATTATGCAACTAATATGAGTAAATTGATCATTTTTTATTAAAATTGTTGGATTTATTAATTATAAATACATCATTTTTATAGAAAAAAAAACGCACAATTTATATGATTATGTGTGCACATGAAAGCCATTTTAATAAACAGAAATAATAGTCTTATAACCAATTGATACAATTCTGGATATTAAATGCCTTTCAGGAGGAAAAAACAGACCGACCAAAAAAAACTGGTGTCACCAGTTGCAAATCGAAACCCGGGTCTGTACCGGTGGCATGGGTACATTCTACCATCTAGACCACTCTAGGTGCTCCTTGTTGAAATATATTTAATTTGTTCTTCTATTTAAAAATTTAATTTCAGACATATTTTACTTCTCAAACCATTGACTTATTTTCCTATATTAAGAGATAAAAGATGTGTGTATAACCAAGTTTTTTTTTAATATAAATGATCTTTTGGTTTTATAAAAATAATATTACATCTATAAAAACTCTTCTAGAATGCTAATAGCCCCACGTATGGGCGTTTGCCTTTTGCTGAATGTAAGCCACATATTAAGCTCATATGATCATCATAAGAAAAATTGTATCTTAACTGATAAGGTGTCCAAACAGGAGTCTCCACTTACAAGCCTGGAAGATACTCTCAGAGGAATCATCAAAAAGAGATAAAGCTAAGTAAATGATCATATTCAGAATACTCCATTAACGAAGTGGTATAAATATATCCCGTCTACTTCATTCCAAACACCTGTCCAAAAGGCATTAAGCAACATAAAACCTAGTATATTTTAAATTTGATTGATCTAAAAATATGAGAATGTTAATAAAAGCTCACCAAAGAGCAATTTTCTCTCATTAAAGGGAAAACTAGAGGCCTCAAAGTAGAAAAATAAATAATAAGTCTAGGACAGGCGTACCGGTAGCCAGTACCGAGTGCCCGAGTGATTGGTGCTTTTATTATGTCTCTGAACACGTCGTTTGTCCAAACACCATAAGCTCTTCTCAAAGTAGGAGATCAGTCGGAGCATCGTTTTTATCCCATTATCCCATGGGGATATTTATACTTGAAAGAAGAAAATGACATAAAATATTTTTACTTTTTTTTTATGGTTTTTTGTAGCTTTAGCTTGGCACATTTTAATTTAAAATTTTATTAATACTTTATCACAGAATTTAATATAAAAAATAAAAATTAAATAATTATCAATAATAAAATGTAAATTAAAAAATTTCCTTAACGAGCGCGGACACATTTCTAAAAAATTTTGGCTTTGAAATTAGCTAAATAGGCTCTTTTTCATTATTTTGTGGAGAAATAGTTCCGCGTTCATTTCTATGTGACCATAGCTATGTATTTTCCATCCAATAAAAAAAAAAAAAAAAACTTAATTAGTTAATATAGGACTATTTAAAACTTATCGATTAGTAAATTATATAAATCAAAACTAAACTTATTGATATAGACAAGATCAACTCCATCAAAAATATTTCAACCTTAGTCTAAATAAACCAAAATCAAGCGCTAAAATCACTTAGATTTTCGAAAGCTTGAAAGAGAATTGCCATCATAATTTCTAACTTACCGATGTTTAATTTCTATGGTTATTCATCATCATCAATCTCCTATCAGTAACTGTTGTTAAAACAATCATCATAAACTCTGATTCAACAACATCATTGACTCAGTCATTTTGTATTCTTAATTCTCAACACCATGTCTCTACATAAATGCACGGACCGAAACCAAAGTGTGTAATCTTACACAATTCTTAAGATCAGCATATGCGTTCTCTCATTGTAGAAGTGAATGAAATAAATGTTATATATACTTCTTAGAGAAATATAAGTTAATCCAAATTTCAATTGTAAGACTATAGAGCACCTTTAATTTTACGCTAATAATCATAGTTATATGAGATTAATTCAGATAGATGATAATAAATAATGCATTACTATTGAGTGAGTATATATGTGCCCCTTTTAGGAGTACTACAAGAAATTTTTGTTAGTGATATTACATAGTAAATTGCTTTAAGAAATAGTAAAGCAAAGTTAACACAACGAAGGTCACGTAAGATCTAAATGTACTCTCTTGTAATTCATCATCAATTTTCTAGCAACCAATGAATATTTTTGATTGCAGAATAACACAATATAAATTACTAAATATATATAGAAATGAGATGAGGTCACCCAACTAGCAAAAAAGAAGCATAG